CTCATTGGTCCATGGCTTATTGGTGATGCTTGGTACCCCAAATTACCAAAATACCCCTCTTGGACCCAAAATTCCAAAAATTTCAAAAATTTCCAAAAATCCCAATAAATCCTAAATATTCCCAATTTCATTTCTCTCAACTATCACATGACCTAATTTGGCCAATTTGACCATCTTTAACCAAAACCCTCAAATTTGCCTTTAAAGACCCAAATTCCCCAAATTCAATTCAAATGTCCATCAATTTGACCTCAATTGACCTCAATTTCAATCCTAAACCAAATTCACTTTTGATATGATCAAATCAAACCTAATCCAAGCTTAATTGGTCCATGATTTGAACCCAATTTTGAGTTAGGTTAAAGCCCCAATTTTGACCATATAACCTAATCTCACTAATCTCACCTAATCTCACCAAATTGAACCCATAGCCTAGTCAATTGGCCCAAATTAATGTTGAAAAATCTTGATAACATCCATATATATCAAAATGAACAATCAATTAACCTTGGTAAAGCCTCATATCCATTTGATTTTGGCCTAAATCCAAAATTCCCAAATTTAGCCCTAAATTGGCTAAGTCCCCAAATTCCACCCAATTGATTGCCTTAACCTCCAAATTGGCATCCAATTCATGTTGAAAACTCTTCATGAGGTCCCTATTGACCATTTAAAACAATCAATTTGGACTTAGCCCAAGGCTAACCCAAGCTAGACCCAAGCCTAGCCCAACATAACCAAATTGATTAAGGTTCAAAATTCCTTCAATTGAACTCAAAACTACTTCCATCCTTCACCCAAGTTGTTCCTTATGATTATCTACACCAAATACAATATTTATTTGGGCCAATTGACATGGATAACAGAGCCCAAACCCAAGTTTTGGTCATTTGCACTCACTTGGACCCATGCACTAAATGTGACCTAACCACCCTAAAGTCACCAAATTAACTCCATCCCCAGCCATTGGTTGGAATTAGTGACCAGTAAAAACACCATGAAACCACCTAAATCAAG